GGCAGAAAATCCTCCTTCCCACACTTTTAAAAACACTTCTACTGTTCTTAACCATTTTCTAAACTCATAAGCCTATGTAATTTTAACAATGTACATATATGGTACTGCAAAATCTCCCAATATGGCAAAAAATTGCGATAAATAATTTAGATTAATATTTTTTTGAAAACCCATGAAACAATGAGTCCACAAAAGTCTAACCACAAAATAGTGAGGGACTACTGTACTCCTTCTCTCCCCCTCCCTATCTCCCTTCCTCCCTCCTTCCTCCCTCCCTCCTTTCTCTCTCATTCCCTTTCTCTTTTTTTCTCTCTCCTCCTTCCCTCCATCTCTGAGGCCATGTTTGAGACTTAAGACACTAAGGATACACTAAGCAATGGAGGAGGTCCCACTTTGGGGCCACATTATGAGTTATTATCAGAGTATGGGGTGCCCATTACAATGTAGAAACAATAAAGTGTGGACCCCCAAGGACCTCACACACAGAAAGAGAACAGTGCAGTTGTGACAGGAGTGGGAGCAGTACCTATGACTAGAGCTGTGGCCTCGTGGTTGGAGCTGGAAATGACGGCTTTCATAGAATCATAGTAGTTCACCTAGAAATAAAAAAATCAAGAAAACATTAATTAATATGATGATCACCCACCAGGTTAAGTAGGAGTTTGCAACAATGTTCCAAGCAGTCTTTCCAAACATGTTAGAGGGAGAAAAGAACCACTTATTTCAAGATCAGGAACATTTTTCAAAAGCACCCGTGTGTGGGACAGATGTGTGTAGGTGGCTTGGCAGTGTGAAGCCCATCCTAGGCTCCTTCTTGCTCACTGCTCGAGGGTAGCTGCAGAACGTACAATCCTGGGCACCCTGTCTTCCAGACTGTGCTGCCATTTCTACTACCTATTTCAGTTGTTCTGAGAAAATTGAATGCTGCCCACATGTGGCAGGGGTTTTTACACATAAAATAATTTATTCTTCCCTAGAAATCATCTTTACAGTAGAAACAATGTTAAGGATCATACTAGGAGGCATAGAATTTCCCACTTTCAGAAGTCCAGAACTGTGCTCTCAAGATGTATAGGGACTGGTGACCAGGGTTTTGGTTCAGGACCATGAAGGACAACTAGAGCTGGGTCAGTAGTGAAGAACCAAGGCTGGGGAGATAACTTGGCAGCATAAACACCTGCCTGGCATGTGCAAGATCCTGAGTTTGATCCCTAGTACTGAACTGTGTAGCAAGACACACACACACACACACACACACACACACACACACACACACAGAGTGAAGAACCAGATTAGGTGGGATTTACATTTCCCCCAGGCCACCTTCTTTTCCAGTGGAAGTACTAGATAAGCCATACAAGTACTGGTAGAATGACAGTTGAGCTGCAGGTATAATACATTTGCTCATCACCTAGTCATTGCAGGCACCATGCTAAGCTCAGAAGTGACTGTGAGGAAAATGACCTTTGGTCCTAACTCTCATGAAGCAGAAAACTAGAGACCCACAGGGAATGAAGGAAGGGGAAAAGGGGGTCTGGAGTTTAGGACCCAGGGTAACAGGACTGAGTGGTGAGTCAATTCACAGAGCAGAACATTGCAGTTCCCTGGAATTGCCCTGTACCTTTCTTCTGTTGCAGAAATGCTCCCCAAATGTCTTTGTGGTGGTCTGCTTAGAAATCAAGGTCATGAACACACCTCCTGAGGCATGGGGCAGACAAGACAGCTGGAGGTGCAGACCGCTCCCAACACACACTTCTTGTCAGGTTCCATCTCTATACTGATGACATGCTGACGTCAGCACTATCTGGCTCTGTTTTTCCCACAGTGAAGACTCTTCTCCTCACTCCTAATCCTCCATGTAAGCTGCCTTCGGTGGGTACCAGTTCTGCATCTTGGAATTGTTCTGTCTACCTTCTGGGTGCACAGAAGACTGAATAGGACCAAACAGAGCACATGGGATGTTCAGGCGTGCAGTTAGGGATCTGGGGGACAAAATTTCCACAAGAAGAACAGCTCCCTTATGTGCAATGGAAAAAGCTAGATAAAAAGCCATGTATTTTATTGTCCCACGAAATGGGCTATCAAAGATAAACATAAGGGAGGAAAATAGATTAGTGGTTATCAGGAGCTGGGGTAGAAATGGGTTGGAGGGACCTCATGTTCGAAATTGGTAACATTGATAATTCTACAACTCAGTAAACTTTTTACCAAAAAGCTATATGTGTATATATAATACATAAACATAATATGTAATTTATAATATGTAAATTGTACCTAATGACGATGAAGAAAAATAAAAGGAATCTCATTTCAACCATCCTAAGAAGCACACCCTATTACATGTACTCATTTAGTCAGATTTTTTTTTGTGTACTTTTCCTAATTCTCATTTCTGTTCTGAGGGAATGATTTTTTTCTTTTGTGTTTGAAGTGTTGCTGGTCACTATATTTTAAATAAATGCTATTCTCTTTGTCCAATTTTTCCTCACCTTTAATTTTCCTTTTCATGTATCAAATGAGTTTGTTGGTTTTCCTATTTTCTTCCCCATATACTATTTATTATCACTATTTTCTTGCATAGGACTTATTAATTGAGAAACTTCTCTATGTATTAGACCTAGTGTATTCAGAAAGAGGGGTAGACCCTTGGTACTATGTGCTTCTTTATTGAACACTTATCACATCGATCCCTAGGACCCCTTCTCTCCTTCCTGTCCCTTATGTGGCCATGTCTACTCTGTTTATGGTTTCTGGGCTCACTTAATATAAAGAACAATGTCTTGGTTTTTTTATACACTTTTCTTTTTTTATTTCTCTCTCTCTTGGTTTTTGAGAAGCACTACTTTAGCTTCTCGGAGCTAGTATAATTCTCAGGGAATCAGTCTCGTATGTTTAATCCTATTATCAGTCCGAAGCCACTCTGGTCACTGTGTTGACTCTTTCTTCTACAGCAGGAAGGGAAACCCACCTACTACCTTTGGACCCAGAGATCCCCAAACCAATCCCATCAGGAAGCTCAAATTGATTGACTTCATAGCTTCTAGGAATCAGCTCTTTATCATTCTTTGTAGCATTTTGTGTATTTCATGTAGTACTTTTGTTTGTTTTCAGCTAAGTTTAAGAAGTTGTCACAGGAGAAGTGAAAACTTATTAACCAATACCCATGCATACTATTCTTGCTTGCCTGTCTATGCAGCACACCTGGAGAGACATGTGTTTTTACCTGAGTAACCCAGTCTCCATGCACTTTCCAACGGATGTAGGTCACATGTGGATGGGTTGTAGCATTATGAATGGTGATGTTTGGCACGTTCTCAACTTTGGGCATCTTTTTCCAAGTTCTAAGGAGAAAAAGAAGGTCCAGGATTCAAGCCTTATACTGGGTGCCTTAGTTAGTGACCCCTGCAGTGAGACCCCAATGTCTTGCAAGTTGTTACGTTTCAAGGTAAAAAGAAAGAGCAAGAGACAAAATGGCAATGCAACAGGGATCTTGGATGACCAGTTGCTCATGGGAAACAAAAGGCCACAAAGCAGGCAGAAACTTGGTATTTAATGATCACATTGACACTGAGGAAAAAATGGCGAGGGAAATGCAGCTGGATGTGCTGGACAAGTGGCTAAGCAGGCAAGGCTTATAAAAGAGAACAGACTATTCTTGCAAAAAGGCCGGAACAGCCAGATGCAGGTTGTAGTTAACAAGTAACCTGTTTTGCAGCCAATTCCGGGAAGGAATTTTCTTTTGAGTCACATAGGCCTCAGCAGAAATGTTATCTCATATCTTAGCCCCACAGTCTCACGGCCCGCCTATCTGGGCTCCACTGTGGCCCCTGGCTGAGGGCATTGCTAGCATGACACTACACACTTGCTATCATGAAGACACGTACACAGCCTCAGCAAGACTCACTAATTGAAAGCCAATTCATGGAAGTCACCTCTATATGGCCTGTGCTGCTTGCTCAGAAGCACAATCACACTTGGCCACAGGGGAGAGCAACGTGGTGGTCCTCCACAGATAAGGACCACTGGCCCTTGTATATCTTGCTCCTTCCAACCAGGAGCCTTTTCTCAAACTCTTTCTGGACAGGAATTCTCTGCCCCCTCAACTCTTCACCTGTGCACATTCTTCCCATTCTCCAAAGCCTCACCAGCTCATCCATGGGGACATTTTTGAACATGCCAAACTATTTGTGCTCTCCCAAGCTTGTAATTGGCACATTTGATGTAAGCTGCCCTTAGTTTTTCATAAGACATATATAACTGGAAGGAAAAAGAGCTTCCCCAGTAGGGAGCAAGGAGCCAAAAAATATGGAATGGGTCGGAACTCCACGATTACACGCATATGTCCCACTGGGATTTGTGCAGCCTTACAGAAGACAGTGGGCTTCTGAAGCCAGGCCCACAAGGAAGTAGACATCACTCATGGCCATGGTGCATGAGGGTAGATGGCAGCAGTATTCATGTCCTCCCATGTTATAAACGCTCTTCAATTAGTGGGTGATTAATATCAGTTCTTTGAGATAGGCTGCCATTCCCACAGTAGAGGCAGGAATAGAACACTTGGCACTTTGATCAGGAGTAGAGGACATTGTGGTTGTCTAGCCAACTGCCATCCTCTTTTTCCTCCTTGACAAAAAAGCCAAGTGTTACAGTTTGTGTCCCAGGGGTTCTTATGATGGAAGCTTTGTCCTCAGTATGGACAGAGTAATGTCAGCTATGGCAAGACCTTTATGAGGTGGGGCCTGGTAGGAGGTCACTGGGGAGCATGGTCTTCTGAAGGAATCAAAGTAGTTCTCAAAGGATTTTGGTTAGTTCTCATGACAGGGTTATTACAAAAGAAGACTAGTTCCTTCCCCAGCTCTCTGGAGCTCTGTCCCATTACTTGGGACTTCCTTCTCACACACAACCCTGCCATGATGCCATCCATCAGGAGGTGGTGCAGCTGGGGCCTCACCAGAGCCGGTGCTGTGTTGTTTGCATTCAGCCTCCAAAACTGTGAATTAAAGAAACCTCTTTAATTTATACATTACCCAGCCCTCAGCTCTATCTTATTGCAATAAAAAGTAGATAATACACCAATACATGACGTATTTCTGGCTAATTAGAAATCAGCAGAGAGCTCTGGGAAAAGTTTCTGCTTTCTAACAAAATGCAAAAGTACATTAGACAGTAAATCACTCTCTCCCATACGTATGTATCCTCTTTCCATGTCTATTTTTCCTGTCCCACAGAGGGCATTTGTCTTCCTGATTTCAAACATAGTTGGGATATCTGGAGCTGTGGTAAGCAACGTGATATGGAGAGGCCGTGAGCTAAGGCCAGAAGGCCAACATGCTAAAAAATGGTGTAATGAGTCTGGGAGTGGTGGTGCATACCTGCAACCCCATTGCAGGGAAGGCTGAAAACAGGAGGAGCACTACGAGTGCAAGCTGCATAGTGAGACCCTATACCAAGTACGTTAAAAAAATGGTGAAGTGGTAAATGGAGACTGAAGTTTTATCTCTAGTAAACTAAACCAAGGCCAGGAATCACCTGAATGTATCCTGACTTCTATTTTTTTTTAAGGTGATGTCTCACTGTGTTGCCTAAGCTAGGCTCAAGCAATCCCCTCATCTCTGTCTGCTGAATAGCTGGGGCTACAGGCAAGTACCCCATGCCTGATACCTTTGTCAAAGAAAGATAAACCACTTTTTTCTCTTGATCATTTTCTTCTTGTTATGTAATTATAGGAAATATTTACTAAATTCTTAATATTTACCAAGCCCCATTCTGAGCACTTATTAACTTCATTTACTTCTCAGCATGATCTTAGAAGATAGGCCATATTATTATTCTCTTTTTAAGCATGACAGAACTAAAGCACAGAAATAGAAATGGTTTTCCAAAGTTAGTAAGTAGCAGAGTTCAGATTCAAACCTGGCAGCCTAAACTGCAGCTTAAAGCATTCTTAATGGCTCTTCTAACTGTTTGCAGTAGTCCACAACTGATTTCATGGTCAACAAATCGCAAGCTTGTGACTCAGTTGAAGTAGAGATAATCTGGAGTGATGATCTATAAGCAAGGTTTTTTGTTTGCTTGTTATTTTATAGTACCAGAAATCATGAGAGTATTTCAGCTTCCTCTAAATAGTCTCAACACTGGCTGTCTTCCTTGGACTAGTTGAGAGTCCTGTATGTGAGATGCTTGGAGCAAAAGTGCTTCATAGGTTAGAGTTTTATCAGATTTTGGAGTACTTGGATATAAATAATGAGATACCCTGGAGATGGAACCCAGGTCTAAACACTAAATTTATTTATGTTTTGGATACACCTTGGACACAGAGCAGAAAGTCATTTTTATGCAATGTTTTTAGGGCATTTTTTTTCTTTTTTAAAAAAGGAAAGGTTTATTTCACAGTTTGTAGAGGTTTCAGTCCGTATTTAACTAGATCCAAGGCAGGGTGGCACGGTAGAGGGCCATCAAAGAGGAGAAATAATTTATTGCAAAGTAGGCAAGAGGAAGCAGAGCAGCCAACAGCTACTGCTGCAGCAAGGCCTTCCCTCTTTTATCCCATCCACGCTACGAGCCTTTTGGGAGGAACCACTCACACCCAGATGAGGCTTCTGTCTTCAGCAAATCCATTCAGCCACTCCCCAAACTATGCTAACAGATTAATTTAGTACCACTTGCCCTTAATCCCAAGATCACATGCCCTAGGTCCAACCAATTCCCAAAAGCCCCACCCATGAGTGCATGAGGATTTGGGGGAATATCTAGGTACAAACCGTAGCATTCTACCCCTCCCCTCAAAAGATCAGTTGCCTCTGAGTTTTGACTCCAATCTGTCACATGAGTGAGGTGTGAAATTCTCCACTTGTGGTGTAATGTTGGCACACAAATGTTTAGGATTTTGGAGCATCACAGATTTTGGATGTTTAGATTAGGGATGCCCAGCCTATATTTACTTTCCATTTTATGAGAAATCATAAAAGTATTTTTTTCTGCACTTTCTAATAAGAAACACAGAAGTAATATTCAAATTTTTTTCTGTAAAACATTTATTACTTTTGGCTACTTTCCAAGCATTAAGTTTTTCCAATTCCCTAAAGAGTGATTTTCTTGAGAATTTTGTGTAAATAGTGGCCTCGTCAGACCAGTGAAAGACATTTAGCTTTCTTAAACCAACAACCACTCGGAACTTGCTTTTGCTTCAGTCATGACTTTTGCTGGACTTTCTCTTTCTCCTGGAGGAGTGAGGGAGTTTGTGGGAAGACTCACTTTTTCTCCAAATCACTTCCTGCCAGGTTACATTTAGAGACACTTTTCCACTATGCCCCCAATTACCTGAGGGAGTTTTTTTACTCACGAGTTTCCTGGAACTTACCACTCAATACTCTATATTCTCCATCTACTCAGCCAGGAGACCGGAAAGTTAATAGATGGACTAGATCTCAATCTCCAAACATCATCATTCCCAGAATCCAAGCCTCATCTTGTTTCTTCTCTCAAGAATAACACCTTAGAAATTGACACTGAGTACTGGAAAATCTCCGTTTAAGCCATGGAACTGTCTTTTTAAGATTTATTTTATGGTGTATCTTTACCAGGCTTCCATAACAATGCTCCAGTGCATTGATCTTACCTCTTGGAAAAATCATTGTTATAGTCTGCTTTTGTTACCCTGTGAAGTGGGTGTATAGTGTGCTTCACAGCAGAGAAAACACAGAGCATGTCTCTTTAGCCTGCTTCTTCCTCTATGGTGAGAGGAAGAAGAGAATCTTTCAACTCACTTAGTGGGGGGATTAAATTAATTTCTCCTGTTAAAATTGCCCTCAAATGAAAACTTTTTATATTTGCTACCACAAACCTCTTCGTCATAGTACCACTTACCAACTATGTTGCTTTTTCCTGGATACATTTAAAATCTGGAAAGATATTACTGAGGAAAATGGAACAGAAAGAGATGGTGATAGTAATCAAGTCAAAGGTAATTGATTTGATTCATATTTCAAGAGATAAAAGTTTAGGGAAAAGATCTTTAAATTTTACAGAATTACTGCTTGGAAACTGACTCAGCCTCTTGTGTGTGAATTAATTGATGGGAGATAAGGTCAATAAATAAGGATTTCATTGCAGTTTTTTTCCCCACAGCCTTGTCAGTATTTTTCTTTTTGTTTTCTTGATGATGGTCATTCTTTCTGGCACAGGATGAAATCTAAGCATTGTCTTAATTTGCGTTTCCCTAATGGCCAGAGATGTTCATATTCTTTCATGTATTTATGGGACTTGTATTTCTTCTTCTGATAAGTGTCTATTCATTTCAGTTACCCAGTTTTTTATTTTTTTGGATGGGATTTTAATTTTTTTGAGTTCTTTATGTATTCTTGATATTAGTCATTTGCTCAAGGAGTATCTGGCAAAAGTGTTTTCCCAATATGTACGTTGTCTCTTTACTCTGTTTTTTGTTTTTTGTTTTTTGTTTTTTCTGGGCTCAAGCATTTCAATTTGTTACAAAACCATTTATTTACTCTTGTTATTTCTTGTGCTACTGGAATTCTGTTCAGAAAGCTTTGTTCAGGAAACTTGGATTCAAGAGTTCTATCCATTTTTATCTTCCAGTGTGTTGTGTTTTTGCTTTAATATTTAGATCTTTCACCCACTTTTAAACTTTATTTTATTACTATATATTTGTCATATATAATATATACATATTGATCATGTTCATCATAGGGAATGTGTGCCTATACATAATTTATCTTAAAAGTCTTTTTCCCCATTTCCCTCTCTATCCTTCAATTCCTCCTCCACTCCCCATCTATAAAAGCTGTGTTTCCATTTTCTTCTTTCTATTTTCTTTTCCTCTCTCCTTCCCCATCCTTTATTCCCCTTCCCATTTGAACATTTTCTTCCTTCTTCACAATATCTTTTATCCACTTTGATTTTAGTTTGGTACATGGTAAGAGATATGGGTCTAGCTTTAAACTTGTGAATGTGGTTAGCCAATTTTCCCAGCACCACAAAGAGACTGTTTCCTCAATATAGGTTACTTTGTTCCTTTGTCAAAGTTCATGGGGCTGAATGTGTCTAAGATTGTTTCTGCATCTGTTGCTTCATTTTACACACACACACACACACACACACACACACACACACACACACACACATATGCTTTTGTGCTAATACTATGCTGTTTTTATCACTACAGCTTTTGGGTGTAATTTGAGGTCAGGTATTGTGATGCCTCCTGCTTTGTTTTTGGTGCCCAGTATTGTTTTTCTTTTTCTGGGTCTGTCCTGGCTCTATATGAATTTTAAGAATTTTAAGAATCAAAATAGTTGTAGCTATTTTGATTGGGAGTTCATTAAACATATATAGTGTATGTATGGCCATTTTGACAATATTAGTTTTGCCTATCCAGGAATAGGGGGTATCTTTCCACTTTCTGGTGTCC